GAATTTTGCCTCATTTTACAATTTTTCTTGCCACATTCGTTAAGTGAATCACTGCAGTTGTTAAATTAGTAACACAGTTGTTAAGTGAATCTGGCTTCCCCATTGACTTTGCTTATCAGAAGGTTGCAAAAGGTGATCCCATGACCCCGGGACACTGCAACTGTCATAAATGTGAGTCAGTTATTAACCATCCAAATGTAAATCACATGATGATGGGGATGCTGCAATGGTCATGTGAAAAATGGTCATAAGTCATAAGTCATTTTCAGTGCTGTCGTAACTTCTAACGGTCACTATTATAAGTTGAGGACTACCTGTACATCTAATGTAAGAATATTCTTAAATTCTTTTAGTGGGTCACTATAGAGTCCTTGACTTACAAACACAACTGAATCTGGAATTATGGTCATAAGTCAAGGTGGCTGTTAAGCAGGTCACCATCTGACCATGCCCAATTTTATGACTATTTTTGCAGTAGCCATTAAGTGAATCCATTTTCCCTAACGAGTGCTGTTTTTTTTGCCAGAAACCAGAAGTAAACACTGAAAACAGCCCCAAAATACTGAAAATCATGATCAAATTCAAGTTGGTAACCAAGTGCCCAAAATGTAATCACATGGGGGGGGGGAATTTGCAGCTGTTGTAACTTTAAAAACAGATTGTAAGTAACTCTAGGGAGGTCCATTCTTACTTCAGCTGGTCACTAAATAACCAGTATCTGGTATTTGCTTCAAAGAGATGATTTGATGAAGAAAATGCAAATAGAATCAGAATCAAATTAGATGATTTTGACATTGCTGCTACTCTACTGTTGCCTCTTTGCCCAACCTAGTTTCTTGCCTGGTTCCTCCTTGTTTACTAATTGAGCTGGAACCACTTCCCACTAGGTCAGGAATAGGCAACCTCTTTTATGACTTGTGGACTTCAACTCCCAGAATTCCTGAGTCAGCATAGCTGAGTCCACAAGTCATAAAAGAGCCAAGGTTGCCTACCCCTGCACTAGGTGATTCTGACAGCTGCAGCAAACACCCTCTACCCCAGCTATAGGATCACATCCAGAGACCTCTGTACTTTCTTCGGCCTTTCAATGGTATCTGCATAGTCCTTGCAACCTGCTTCCAAAACCAACTTCCGTAGTCTGCCATCAATATATATCCCCATCTGCCACCACTGGAAAAGTCGAGCTGTTATGGGTTCTTAATAGAGACAAAGTAGGCAACCAATGATTTTTCTCACCTCAAAATTTGTGAGGAATGCAGTTCTGCCTTTTGTATCAGTTTCTTCTACTAATATTATTAGATACATTCACCTGAAGGGATGGGAATTATACAAGTAGATCTGTTTTTGTTTATATTATTTTATACAGTATATCATAGTCTATTACAGTATAGTAAACATAGGTAGTCCTTTATTTACAACCATTTAGTGACCACTCAAAGTTTCAAGAAATCTTCATGCGCAGTGGTTAGACTGCAGCATTGCAGGCAAATTCTGCTTGCAGTCTAGAGTTTGATCTTGAAGAGGCTTAAGGATAACTCAACCTTGCATCCTTCCAAAGTTAGTAAAACAAGGATCCAGATTGTTGGTGGCAATATGCTGATCTGTAAACCACCCAGAGAGTGCTGTAAATTACTATGGGGCTGTATATAAGTACTAAGTACTATTGCTATTCAATATTCAATAGCAGTGAGAAAAAGTGACTTGCAATTGGTTCTTACACTCACAACTATGGTAGTGTCTCCATGATTACGTAATCAAAATTTGCACACTCTGCAACCAGCATGTATTTATGATGGTTGCAGCATCCTGGGGTCATGTCATTACCCAGCAGGCTTCCAAAAAGCAAATGGGAGGAGCTGGATTCACTTAATTACCATGTAATTAACTGAACGTATGTGGTTAAAAAAAACATTGTAAAATTGGATGCAACTTACTTAACAACCACCTCATTTAGCAACAGAAGATCCCAGCCCAATCGTGGTTGTAAATCAAGGACTACCTTTATACACTGGTGATAACACAAAACATTGTTTTAAAAAATGCACAAGTAAAACAATGTCCTCTCATTAATAAGCCACATTACCATGACTTATATGAAGAAAAACAAATGGTCAGGGAATGGATTTCTGAATTCCCAGTAAATGCTTACTTTTTAATAAAGTGTTTGGATATTTTCTTATTTTAAATTCAAGTAGGGCACTTCCTGCATTGTTCAGTATGATTTTCCTGTTTATTTATTCTCTGTGGATAGCCTGAAGGTTGTTGCGAAATGACTGATACAAAGGCAATTGATTTAAATGTGAATCTCGGTTTCATTTCCCTTCTTCCAGGCACAGTTTAACATTAAATGAATCAGTCTTCCATTTGCTTTGCAAGCCCAATCATTTTGGAAACCAAATGAAGTCTAAGGTTTGGGTACTTTACATTTTTGAAAGATCAGAACTATCAGAAAGACCAGAAAATCAGAACGCTTCCTGTCTCCCAAATTTTAGATAAAATATATGAGGAAAGGGACTGAAAAATAACTTCATTTAAATAGCCAACAGTACCAAATATTCTGCAATGTGTATTAAAGAAGGATTATTCATTTTCTATATTATATGTCTGAGTTTTCTTATTCCTAGCATTTTCCTGCAAGATTAAAAATATCAATGCAGATTAAATTTTTTAGTGTTTGACTATCAACATCAAGTTATTTACTCAGAATGCCGTATATTTTATCAGGGGAATCTGTTTAGACTACTTAGAACAGAGGTCCCCAACCTTTTGGGCACCAGGGACTGGTTCCATGGAGAAAGGTTTTTCCACGGACTGGAGAGTGTGTGGTTTTGTATGCTGCCTGCATCCTGCAAATGGGGCTTTGCTTGTTTGTGCGGACTGGTTGCTGGCATGCCATGGCCCAGTACTGGTCCATGTACTGGAGGTTGGGGACCCTTGATCTAGATAGAAGATTAAAGACAACTAATTTACTACTACATCTTAGCACTGGAGGAGGAAATGTCTTAAGACTTATGCAATCATATAAATTCTTGACTGTATTTAAAAGAATTCAGCTAGCATGTTTAATAAATGCTTATTAACTGCATAGCTGACAACCACAAATGAAAGCTCTATATAGAAACTCTTCTGTAAAAATGATTACATTTATGCATTGCTGTGATGAATTTGGAGAAAATCCCAGAGCTGGGATAAACTTGTCTGTCTGCGGTTTTATTCATTTTCTATTCTTAGGTAAGCAAAAAATGCATTTCTCCTTCATTTATGTGGCATGAGGTACAAAGAAGAATTAAAACAACAGAATTCAAATATTGTGCTAAGTCATAATGTGATTTGATTGATTTTGACTTGACAAATTATGTGTATCCTATCATGGTTTTAAACCATGGTTTATAGTTTAGTATACTGTGCAGATTTAGCCAATTGCGAATTAATAAATTAATTTATAGTTAATTAATAGGGTTGTTTTAACACTATGCATGAATCCAGTCTCTTTGAAAAGTTCAGTACTTTTGCATATTCCTCCTGTTGCTGCTAAGTTACTGGACCAATTAAGACCAATGCATACAATATTGGTGAATCAGAAACATCAAGTTTGCCTATAATATCTTCTCAATTTATTCCAACTTTTTATTATATTATAGGTTTTTGTTTTAATTTTGTAACTGTGTGACTTTCAAATAGTTTGTGCTTCCTTTTACCTTCAAAAGCTTTGCCAAAGAAGAAATGAGTGAAAGCAGAAAGAATTGCTCGATATACCGAGACTGTGAAGTAGAATTTATAATATAGAACTTCTTCACTTTAAAGGAAAGAGAAAGATGGTTATTGTTGTGGGGAAAACAGGAAAAGGGAGTAATTTGGTATGTTCACCGCTTCAAGTTACTTATAAAGTAATAAAGGAGAGATAAAAATTGAATAAATAAATTGCAGCCTCCCCTTATTTAAGTCTCTTGCCTACACGTCTACCACCCAGTTCAGGTGATGGATGAAGAAAAACACTTCCATTCTGTTGCTCACTTATCAGTTTGCTTAAAATAATCTTTTAAAAACTTATACATAGGTATCAAATCTTTCAGTAATTACCTATGAAAAGAAACTATCTTTGACTGCTCTAAATTTCCTATTCATCATTTTCAATCTTAGTTTGTTTTCCATTCAAGTTAAAGTGAGCTAATAATGTGTTAATTTAACTTTCTCAGAGTGAAAGATTTCTAAGAAACAATGTATTTGGATGGAGTAGTGGTGGAGGATAATCTTCAGGGTTATAATTTGTTATAATTCAAATTAAAAATAATTAAACAGTTCACACATATTAACCCATACTGTGATTTGTCCATTTATGACTTGCATGTTGTGTGAACATGTGCAAACATAGCTTAATTTACTATTCCATTGGAAAACACAATGATGTAAATTGCCACATAGTACTTAAGTATAGTACCTGGTTTTAAAATACTATCCTGTAATGGCAAACTAATGGCAAACCACTTTGAAAAAACTTGCTGAGAAAACCCCAGTGACTTTTTTGTCTAGTCCCCAGGAATCCAAAACTGACTAAAAGGCACACACAAAAAAGTCAGAATTCTACAGAGCACTATTTAAACAATCATAATTTATGGGTTGTGAGAACGCAGCCAGTGGTTGGATTCATCCAACATGAATAGTAATTCCAACATAGTATGGTTTGGCGTGCCAGATTAATTCTGAAAATTGGATTGACTACACCATAGTTATGTTACTCCTAAGTAATCATGTTTGATTGATTCTTCAAAGTTTCGCTCTTTCCACACCAACAGTAATTCATTCCCACATAACAGCCACACCTGAGCAGCAGGTGGGTGCCACTGCTCGGAAGCGCCACCCTACAATATGCAAATCTCGGTCATGACGTAACCTGCCACTCACGCGGCGATGTCGTAATTACTGAGAAAGACCCGGCGCTAAACCTCAATTCCCCCTGCGGTCCTTCTTTGAATGTTGCTTGCCATAGAGATGCGTCATACGGTTCCAGAGCGTCGCAAACAAGAACCCGGAAGTCGGTCTCGGACAGTGTAGTTCTAACACTCCATGGTGCGGGGGGCTGGGAGGGTGAAAGAGGAAAGAAATAACATATTCTTGCCCCATTAAGATTTGAAGAAGCGAGCAAATGGCGCAAACGGAGTGAGTGGTTTCTCTTTAAGGGCTCTGGGCGTGGGGGGACGAGGTGAGGAGGTGGGAATACCTGTCGGGACTGAGGGGCTTCAGCGTTGCCAGATTTGCGGTAGGTGAAAGGCCGCGGAGAAAAAAAATGCGAGACTTTCACCTCATCTGTAGTCCCGGAGAGCGTGAGAGAAGCCTATGTCGGACCCTTACTTGAACTCCAGCTCCCCATAGAACAGTCATTTAGTATCATATCATTGTAACCTGGAGCTTTCCAGATTATGGGAGGTTACGATTCCACCCGCCATCCTGGCCTTTCCAGTCAGGTCTGTTGAAATACGATTCCTGACACCTCAGCTGTCATTGTTGGGCTGGAGTCGAGCACATCCGAAAGACCCCTGATTGGGGAAGGCTGGGCGGGATGATACCATCCCATCCCCTGCAGATGTAAACAAGGAGTTGAAACGTGTCTTCAGTCTTGGATGTGGGAGGCTGAGTCATTTCTCAGACAAGTTCCAGGAAATGTATAAGTTAAGCTATTGATATTGTTTAAACACGTACACGAGAGCCAGTTTGGACTAGTGGTTATGGCAACAGGCTAAAAAGCAGGACTTCAACTCCTGCCTTAGTGATGAAAGCCAGATGGGTGACTTTTGGCCAGTCATTCTCTTTCAACTCAACCCACCTGACTGGGTTATTGTGGGGAAATTAGGAGGAAGAAGGTGTGTTGGATATGTTTGCCACTTGGTAAAAAGAATAATAAAGGCAGGATACAAATAGATAAAAATTGACCACAGTAATTTGTAAGCAGAGCATCCTAAGTGGAAGAGGAAAGATGTATTGCCAGGTCATGAAAAGAAAGTTGCAATGATAATTACAGATTGTGATGATAATTAAAAGAATAGCATCCTTTGCTTATTGGATATCAGTGCAAGAATTATAGCATTATTTCAAACTGCATTAGAGCTAAAACATAAACAAACACAACTGGTCTTATATGATATTTTTACATCCATTTTTATTGTTTAAAAAACTTGCTATTTTTATAGCAAATGTATCCATGTTTGGGATATCAAAGGTATTATAGAATTGAAATTTGCCAAATATGAGTTTACATGTAAATATAATTACCAGCTTTTTGCACAGAGAATAATATATTTATTAGTCTGTGGACCTAAACAGAAAATTAGTTTGGCGTAATGGTTAAGACACCAAGCTAGAAATTGGAAGATTGTGAATTCTGCTTATGCATTAGGCACAAAGCTATCTGGGTGACATTGGGCCAGATACTGTTTCTTAGCCTTAAAAAGGCACTGGCAAACTACAATGCAAAATATTGCCAAGAAAACTACAAGGACTTGTCCAGGCAACTGCCAGGAGTCAAGGATGAGTTGAAGACTCAAAACAGAGATCAGTAAAATACGGGTAGGTAATCTGGAGTCCTCTATATCTTTTGGTTGAAAAAAATATTTGCTTTGATTTGGGGAGTTTTTCTCCAAAATATCTAGAGGATGCTAGATTATCTATCCTTCCACAAACTGTTCTCAGCATTGAATGAATAAAGCAAAATAGTTCATTCATACATTAATTATCCTGAATAAGAGAAGATAATTTTGACCTTAGTGCCTTGAGCCCAAATCAACACTATGTTCATTCATGGATTGTCCCTATTTGGCCTCATGTACTGTACTGTATCAGAAATGGGTTTTACTTGTAAGTGGCTCCACGTGTTGCCAATTGCTTTTTATTCAAGCCATGATAAAAGAAGCAGTTTCAATGCAGATAAATCTTTAAGGAGAGGTTCAAGAATATGCCAGTCTTCTATTTATTTCAGTGCTAACACTAAACACAATACTATTCTCTGGGTTAGAAAAGGATATGAAATAAAAAAGAATAAATAATTCTCTATGTTCAGAGGAGGATGCAGATTAACATATACAGTTAGAGTCTTTCTCCTCCCTTTGGAATAATTGATCACAAATATTTTCATCTTTACTCTTAATGTAATACATTGTGAAAGCCCTTTGCTCTCGAACTTCACTGTTTTGGGTCTTCATGCATTTTTATTTTTGTTGTGTATGAAGAAGTAAAATTTCAATATTTCAAATATCTCTGCTTTGACTGTTTCCTGTTATCTTTTTAATGAATAGTTGCATCATGGTGTATGAATAGTAATACCACCAAATATTTATATTTATTACCCATTCTTTTACTGATGTGGCAAAGTCATCTATTTCCATCCCTACTGTATGTCATAGAAAACAATTAAAAATATTTTCATATGATCTTCCAGCAATAAAATGTGCCATGATTCTTGTTTCTTGTTTGTACTGTTTATCAGATATTGCTGAACTACATTGCTGCTATGTCCCAAAAATTACCAAAGTGGCCAGAGCTGATGGGAATTGAAATCAAACACTATTACACATTCACCAAGCCTGCAATAGAGTAGACCACACATTCCTTCATTTAAGGCCTAGCTGCTTTAGATGTTACACAAGATCTCTAATGTAAAAGAAATCAATAATTCTCTAAGAAATCTGAGGCAAAATCTTTTGTTCATTTTAAACTTTTCTGATAATTGTACCTAAGAAAACCATTGACAAGTATTCGTTCTTTATCAAAATTTGGTTTTATTTTACAATCCCCTTGAGAAAATTCTAGTGCATCACAATAAGTTAGCCATGTATATTTTTTCTATCATTTCTCAGCTATAAAATGCTTTTTGTGGTGAGAACTACAAAGATGTTTTGGGGCACAAATTAGACTTTTTATTCATTTCATATTCTGAGATTGGCCTGCTTGATATAATGCTTTTTGAAATCTATATTGACCTTAGCTTTGTCATATTATAGTTATGTGTGCCACCCAAATCTTAGATCATGTCCTTCTAAATCTAATAGCCTTCTGTTTCATAGTAACATCCATTATTTCATCCAGGCTAAACAGCAGGCAGCAAAGTATAATTTCCAAACTGGTAGTCCCAATCCTCCTCTTTCTTGTGCATCTTGTAGTACCTTGTATTTAAGTTAAGTTTTTTTTTCCTCTGCCATACAGGCTTCTAAGTGAGTTGAAAAAAGAGGCCCTGATTTAAGAAGTCAATTTATTAGAGTTAATATAATGGGGCTGTTTTAACAAATAACAGAGAGATAGTATGTGCTTGTGTCCAGTATTATTTCTTCCAAAACAGTTCTGAAGTGTGCATAGCTATAATAACTATTCCATAGCTGTCACTGATAATTTAGAATGCTAATATAATATGCACTATCCAGTCCTCCTGAAGAAAATCAGTCTCCTAGGTACTCTTTGTTTCTTCTAGGTTATGTACTTGTAGGTGTCTTATCTTTATTTCTATTTCTATTTTGCTTTGATGCTTTTACTCTTAAGGAAGCAACAAATGTTTCTTCAGGTACTGTACTGTACTCTTCATACATTTATTTTAATCATTTCACTGCTGTAGTTTCCCAAGAAGCTTTGGAGTCACAGTGTTTATACTGAAATTATCCAGGACCTATAATAAAGCACAGTTCTTTTCAGACAGGTTTAATGTTAGGCATTTTTTTCTTAAATAATACTTTCCCCAAGTTTTCTGTGTTAAAGACATTGTTTTTATTTTTAGTCCTGTTTCTACTCAGTCTGACTTGTGTTTGCATTCTCTTACAGTTTCCCAAATGTGACCCATGATGTATTCAATTTCACCCTTCATACCACCCTGGCCCTCACCACAAAACTAGTGCTTCCTACGCCTGCCAAACCAATCCTTCCAGTGCAAACTGGCGTCCAGGCACAACAGGAAGAACAGTCGAGTGGCATGACTATATTCTTTAGTCTCCTTGTACTAGGTAATCTCTTATTAATTACTTTTGATAGCAGTCATAGAAAGATGAAGATTGTGAAACGCTATTCCAGTTATGCTTTCTGACCTGTATTACTAGTATGGAGAAAAAGTGGAATGGAAGAGCTTGTTTTTTTAAGTTTCCAATGTAGAAGGAAGCAGATGTGAACATTAGCTTTCCTCTTTCTGAAATAAAATTTGCATCCCTTTTACTCATGCAGGGTGTCATGGTGGCTCAGTGGTTAAGATACCGGGCATGTTGGCCGGAAAGCCGGCAGCCCAGGTTCAAGACCTAAGAGTTTTGATTTCCCTTGTAAAAATGATGGCAAACTATACTGTCGGTGTTCATTTGTGTTGTCAGAATGGGATTTGAGAAAGCAAATGAGATAGGAAATAAGCAATTCAGAAATCACATGTGGTTCATGGGTGATCTATGCCTTGTTTAATGGGTCAAATTGCCCATCCAGGAGATGTTGGCAAATGTTATCTGTGGTTTGCTAAATATTTACAGAATTTTGATGATTTGGTTCATCACAAACCACTCTATGGGTCTTAGTACCTTATGTGAAGGTGTGAAATAGCATCATCTTGTGTTAAATAGCACATTTAGCTAAATGTAATTTGTGCCACTTTGGCTTCTCTAACCACTTAGCAAACATGAAAGTAGATGCACATGAAAATAGATGATAGCTGCATACAAATCATGAAAATATAAATATTTTAAGATGAGATATAATGTGTAAGTGCAGTTAAAGGCTGTGTTCATACTTTTGTCTCAGCCACGTGGTGTAAAATATGTAACTCATTAATTAGGGCTTAATATGGTACATAGATCCAGCCAATTATGATTTATTTAGCAAGGTTATATTTAAATACACCATACCTTAATACTGTGTTTGTATCAAATTAATGACTTTGCCCAAGATAAGGGGAAACAACTCAATAGATCGATTTTTGGGGAAGAGCAGGTTATTCCCAACGAAAGCTTTATATTGGCAATTTACAGATTACATTGTAATTTGCATGAGTAGAGTGATAATTTAAGAAAGACATTATCCTGGAGTTTCACTGCTTAAATGAGAATGTTTCCTAATCAAGATTCAAAATTCATAGTCCTGAACTTTTAATTAAAATAAAAATTATAAATATTGTATTACTATTAGGGTCATTTTCTTCCTAACTGTACCTTACCAATTTTCAAACAGATAAGAAGGTGAGTTAAAAATATAATAACAACAATTATTAAGGGAGAAACTATAATGACAGGAAACACTGGTGATATAAAAAAAATCTGCAAAAAACATTGAGGAATGGTGAAGAATAGGACCAGTTCTTACATTTTAAAAATATTCTGAAGATAGTCTAATAATTTTTGTAAGATAGGTTTAGGTCACTAAGAATTTCAGCCTGATGGGGCTTTGGTTTCAGGTTCTTGGTATAAAGAATATGAGTTTCAATTTTTAATACATTTTCATAGGTTTGATTAATCACAGCTTAAGTGTTCTAATAACAAAAAAGATCCCTATAAGAATATAAATGCATTACAAAGCTTTTTTAAGTTTTAATGTAATTGCTTTTTTCGTGTATCTTGCAATGTGGAAAAAACATTGATACATTTTTTAAAAAATGTTATTGTTAAGAGAATTAGTTGAACAAGATTAGAATTGGATCGCTGCCGATGTGAACTATGTGAGTGTACTAAAATTAATGATCTTTCCAGGAATAAGGTTATTCTGTGTGTCTGTATGTTTACATTGATGCTCTGTATGTTTATGGTAGCTTCTACAAAACAAAATACCCAGGAATTCCCTGTATAAGTTAATAGTTTATAAAAATTTGATCACAAAAACGGGGAGAATTGTGTGTAGCCTGTATGCAGCAGATCAATGCTCCAAACCCATGTGGTTTATGGAATTAATTTTGAAAAAGAATTGCTTTATCTTTTATTCCATCATGACAGAGTGTAACTTGAGTACATAGCTATAGTTTTTACTTACAATAATTAAATTCTGCAATTGCTTCCTCAATTCCAGTCTTAAAATTAAAGGATGTTGTACCTTCATTGTATTCAGAATGTAAAGAAATGTTTCTTTTATTTTTTCTTAAACTCTCTGTTGCAGAAAGAATTATTTGATTTTACTTCTGTTCCTACTTCCTTGTGAATTGAAGGTGACTTCTTTTTGAGGAAATATGTCCAGAATTATAGAATGAGCCTCTTCATAATATGCAATTGTGTAATCCAACATTTCTGACATAGAAAAAATTGTTCCCAGGAATGGGATCCTTTAAAACAAATCCATTAAATTTTGGTTGAGTTTTTGAGATTCCAAGTGTGAAAATAATAAGGATATATATTACTAACAATATAATAGAGAAATGTTTCTCTAATAGTGAGAGATAATATTTTAGCCCTTTCTTTCACTAGGTTTTCATAGCATCAAAGGGTTATTTTCCTTTTCTTTGATATTTTTCCTTGATTCAATTTACCTTTATGTGAAGTGGGTAATTCTGTATGAAAGATATATTTATATAGTCTGTATATATTATTTAGCTTTTGCTTTCCATTACCGTTTCTGGTTATACTTTCACAAACATAGTTAATATTTAACCTTTGTTTTTCCTGAAAATCTGGTTGTCAGTTTGAATGATTGTTTATACCATCACAGCCTAGTGCATTCTGGTTGTATTGGATTACAGTTTCTATTTTAATAATGCTTAATTTTTTTGTAAGTGTGGGAATTATTCTGGAGAAAAATCAAGTGTTTTCCTTTGAAACACCCCTATGCTGGTTTGGAAAAGTCAGTTGGACCCATTTTCATTCCCACAGTGATCCTAGTAAGAACACTAATTACTGCCATTTTTAAATAATTATCTAAAAAGGTTTCTTAGATCCACAAGCTTCTGAATGTTAAATATTCAAGTGTATCTTTATCAGGGGTCTTCAACCTTGGCAACTTTAAGACTTGTGAACTTCAACTCCCAGAATTCCTTAGCCAGTCCACAGGTCTTAAAGTTACCAAGGTTGGGGACCCCTGATCTATATTACTGTTTCTCCAGATGGAGAAGACTCTGAAGTTGTTTTGTGTTTAAAACAAGATAGGAGCAAGACATGCATTGAAGAGTTGCAAAATGTACAGCCGCATTAGGGAGATATTTGCCAGAAGGAAACCAGTTTTGATCAATTTTGAAATTTTTTTTCTTAATAATGTCAGTGGCCCTGAGAGAGTGCCCTGTCTAAAAAAGTGATTCTATAGTTAAAATTAAAACATCCCAAATATAAAAAAATAACTTTTTGTGAGTTTTAGTGATTTTCTTTGAATAGGAATAAATGCTTTGTGTGTAGGTTCATATAATACTAAACCAGATTATGATTTAGTGCCTTGTTTGAAACCAGCTAATACAAAAAGCCTAGATTTTCCTTTATAAATTTATTAAGAAAAATGCTATGATAATATCTCATGAGGTATCGTTATGTGAAACAATATAAGAAAACAAGGATTGACTAGATCGAATCCTTGTCTTTTTAAAACTGTGTGTTATCCTTTGTCTTTAGAGAGAATTAATGTCTGGCCTTCAGGACCAACTTAATATTTGAAAAGCATTAAATGAAATATTTAAAGCTAAAGAAAAAAATAGATGACATTTAATTGCACAAAGATATTTTTTCTTTTCACATTTGGCATCACGAACTAAATTCCTGAGTACAGTAAGATTATTTTGAAAGCAGCCAGTGCTACCATCCCACATCCTCCTTACGACCACAATTGAGCCCAAAATTTATGTTGCTAAGCAAGACAGTTGTTAAGTGAGTTTTGCCCCATTTTGTAACCTTTCATATCACAGTTGTTAAGTGAATCACTGCAGTTGTTAGTAACCTGGTTGTTAAGTGAATCTGGCTTCCCCATTGACTTTGCTTGTCAGAAATTTGCAAAAGATGATCACATGACCCCAAGATACTGCAACCATCATAAATATGAGTCAATTGCCAAGCGTCTGTATTTTGATCACATACCTATAGGGATGCTGCAGTGGTCGTAAATGTGAAAAATGGCCATGTCCCTTTTTTCAGTGCTGTTGTAACTTTGAATGGTCACTAAAGATAAGTTCATAAAATATGGCACAACAAAATAAGTCTTTGGGAGGCTCTACAGATGCTAGTTTGATGGGGGAGAGGGTTTTGCAGGAGAGTGCCTTTGGGTCGGTGTTGACCCTTGGTAGCTGGATGAGTCTGGGCAGTTTTCTGGGCAAAGGTTATGGAAGTAGTCTGCCATTGCCTTCTTCTTAGGGCTGAGAGAGACCCAAAGCCCCTCATCTGTCTTTGTGCCTAAGGCAGGACTAGAACTCCTGGTCTCCCTGGTTCTACTGATGCCTTAATCATTACACCAAATTGACATTATGTATGATTATCACCAACTCCTTCTCTCCCTTCCTGCAATTTATATGTCATTTCAGCCCAAAGAAAAGTCCAAAGGGTATTTTTTTACAGAGGCCCTGTGAGTTTGTAGGAGTGGCTCTATTGAAATATGCAGAGAAAGTATGATGCAACAAAATTTTATCCTACTACTCAAAAGGGTTTATTGTTGTTCAGGTGCCAGGGTTGAATGTAACTGACAACTTGCAAATGGGCTGGTAGATACTGACTGTAGAGTGCTCTCAGTAATGACCCTGGCCTATACTATTTGCAGTGAAGGGACAAATAGTAAAAGGAATACTGTAAAACAAGCTGTGCTTAAGAAAGGATCAATAGAGCAAATGGCTTTCACATTTAATAAATGACAGCACTAGGTTGGGCAGGAAAAAGTCTTATATAAAACCTTAGGAGCCACTGGCAACAATACAGAAAATAAAGAGGAAGTTGTACTAGCCATCTGATTCATGATGAGGCAATTTCCTGGAAACTTTTATTTAAACCTGCTAATTCACTTGGTAAATTCAGTCTGAATTGAAGCTGAATATGCTACTTTTGAAACAATGGCAAAAAACAGCTAGGAAACCTTAATCTTGATG